TGTGACTGGCATGGTAATCCTGGCTCGTTTCCATGGAGACAGTAATTACAGTTGCCTCTCTCCCTCCACCCTGCTGGTAGCACTTTCTGTACGAGGCTGTGATGAGTCAGCCCCTGCCAGGAGCAGGTGACGCTTTCCTGGTGTGTCAGACCTAGTCCAGGTGAGGGAGAGGCGGCTGTGCTGGCTCCATGTGGGCTGAGCTGTGAGGGATGCCCTTTGGAGGCTCAGAGAGGAAATGTTTACCCTGAGATTCTTCTCTGTCCGTGTTGCCACGTAGGAGGGTTGTGGTCCCTGACTGGTCCTTCTGCCTCCTATCTCCCCCACTATCTTCCTTGAGGCTGTCTAGCCCATTGCTGTCTAGCAGAGTGGCCTCCTTCCCCACTCTCCTCAATACTGTTGTAGATTCAATGTTGGCTTGTGTGTGAATGTGTGTGCGCATGTTAGGGCAGGAGGAAGAGGAAATACCAGCGGCAGGCCAGATGGATCAAGGGACTGAGCCTTTAGACAGAACCAAGTTCCTAAATAAACCTTTTTAAAAAATATATATATATATTTTTTATAGATTTTTTTTAACAGAGAAAGAGAGAGGGACAGAGAGTTAGAAACATCGATAAGAGAGAATCAACGATCAGCTGCCTCCTGCACACCCCCCACTGCGGATGTGCCCTCAACCAAGAAGGTACATGCCCTTGACCGGAATCGAATCTGGGACCTTTCAGTCCACAGGCTGACACTCTATCCACTGAGCTAAACCGGTTTCGGCTAAAGAAACCTTATTAGAGACATAAGTCTAAATAATGACTACTGGTGCAGAATGATCAGTTAGCAGCTGGATGAATTTGGGTAGGAGCCTTCATTTCATAGGCCTTGAGTTTCTCTTCCTCAAATTGGGAATTAATAACATTCTTCACAGGATTTATGAGGATTAGATGAGATGATACATGAAAAATGTCCCGCTCAGTGCTTGACTCAAAGTAAATCATCAGTAAACATTAGCGATTGTTTTCCCAGGATTGTCCCGAGGGCCAAACGAAACTCTGTGCTTGAAAGCTCTTTGAAAACTTGACATTTACATTCATCATGACTCTTGAATCTGAGCGTCTCCAAACTGGGAATGGTTGGGAGGAGTCGGCCAGTTCCAAGCTGGGCCCCAGACTCAGGTCTGCTGGCTGTGAGGCAGAGTCACAGGGTGTGACAGGAAAAAGGAAGGCACAGCTCCAGTGCCACTCTGGGCACATACTTCGGCATGTACGCGTGTGCAGCAGGGAATGAAGGATCTCTCCTGCTTTTATCTGTTTTATTTTTATTTATTTTTAAAAATATATCTTATTGATTTTCCACAGAGAGGAAGGGAGAGGGATAGAGAGCTAGAAACGTTGATGAGAGAAACATCCATCAGCTGCCTCCTGCACACACAACCCCCTCCCCACCCCCGCCACACACACACTAGGGATGTGCCCGCAACCAGTGTACATGCCCTTGACCGGAATCAAACCTGGGACCTTTCAGTCCGCAGACCGACCCTCTATCCACTGAGCCAAACCAGTTTCAGCTGCTTTTGTCTTTTAGAATACAGTTCATATTATACAGGGGACAAGGCATGTTTTCTCCCAGTTAAAGTTGTTTCCAAAACTCATTGTTGCCATGGAGCCCTGAGCTGTCAGGTTGGTCCCACTCTGTGAAGAGGCACAGTGGGTGTCATGGGGGCTTTGGCCCCAGCCTTGAGTCTGTGGAGTTCAATCAGCGTCCACCTTCTCTCCCCATCCCTGCCCCCTCGCTCCCTCCTGGCTGGACTCAGATGCCCTGAGGCCGAGGTCAGGTCATGGGGCAGGGAGGCTCTGAGCCGGGCCCTTGTAGGGATGAGATCATCCCACAGGATGGTGAGGGCACCCATCCTGGTCCTGGCCATACGCATAGTGATGTAACCAGGGGCTTTAGCTCCCAGTGGAAACATGGGGTTCACTTTACAGCCAGGGCTGCCCAGAGTTTGTTCCTGGCCGACCTGGCTGTAGCCCTGCCTCTCTTGTTCCCAGCTCCTGTACCCAGTTCCCAGGATGCCCTCTGCTCTCGCCCCCCCTACCTCCACTCTACTGTTGTGCTCCTTTGACAGGCATGCCCTTCCTGTCACCTCTGATTTGTTTGTTCGCTCATTCTCTTACTTACTCACATACTCAGTTATCCAGCAGGTTTTATGAAGTGACTGCTGTGTACCAGACACTGTCTTAGTTGGTGGGGATATACCAGTAGCAGTAAGGAAGACATGGTTCCTGCCCACATGGGGCAAAGTCAAGGAGGGGAGGCAGCCAAGGAAATAGTCCATTACAGTGCTGTGAAGGGGAAGTGAAGAGGAGGTGGGATTCAGTGTGGGCGGCCCACATTTTCTGGTCCGCCCTTCAAAGCTAGTTCAAAAGCCACTCCTACCATAAAGCTGTTCCTGATTCCCCAGCCAGGAGTGCTTGCTCCCTTCTCTGCACCCTGAACACTTAGCGCATTGCTTCATTCATTCATCTATAAATATATAATGAGCGATTCCATAGCTGGCACTGTTCTAGAAACTGGTGACACAACAGTGAATAACAAGTCGTGCAGCTGATATTTTCATGGGCACCCTGGAGAGGATGGACGTAAACTAACAAGATCATAATGTATAATATGTCAGGTAGCCATGCATTCTGTGAAGAAAGATAAAACAGGGTAAGAGGATTAAGTATAGGGAGAGGCTTCTCTGAGGACAGATAAGGATTTGCTGTGTGATGTTCACGTGGTGTGTGAGGAGGGAGCCTGCAGGATCGTGGGCTGGAGTGCACTGGACAAGGCCAAATGGTGGGAGTGAGGTCAGTGTGCTAATGGACCCCAGATCAGGAGGCCTTAATGAAATAGGAGCTATTGGGGTGTTTTAAGCAGAGAAGCATCATGGCCTGACTTTATTTATTTAATATGTTTTTATTGATTTCAGAGAGACAGAGAGAGAGAGAGAGAAAGAGAGAGAGAGAGAGAGAAAGAGAGAGAGAGAGAGAGAGAGAGAGAGAGAGAGAGAGAGAGACATTAGTGATAAAAGAGAATTATTGGCTGCCTCCTACACGCTCCCTTCTGAGGATCAAATCTGCAACCCGGGAATGTGCCCTTGATCGGAATCGAACCCGGGACCCTTCAGTGCACATGCTGATGCTCTCTCCACTGAGCCAAACCATCTAGGGCCTGACTTTATTTAAAAAGGCTCCCTCTGGTTGCTGTGCTGAGAATGGATTGAAGAGACACAGGGTGGGAGTCGTGAGACCAGAGAGGAAGTTATTGCAGAAATTGAGGTGTGAGATGATGTTGATTGACAGAACAATTGTTGGAGAGGTGTCCCTGATGAGACAAGAGGAGGGGGATCCAGTTTGGGCAATTTACCCATAGACAGTAGGGAAGGGAGAGCAGTGTGTAAGCACCTGTCTTGTCTTGTTTTGCTGAGAGCAGATACCCTGTCCGTCAAGCTTCTCTGTCTTCATAATCCTCACTTGGCAGTCAGCACATAATATATATTTGAGGGGGATGTACGTTAGGAGTGTTAGTTTTCTAATAAATATTGAAAATCAGTTATAATCAGTTAGCTGAATCCATTGGTAAGGCTAGCCAGGTTTTTTAAAAAATATATTTTTAATTGATTTTTTACAGAGAGGAAGAGAGAGGGATAGAGAATTAGAAACATCGATGAGAGAGAATCATCGATCAGCTGCCTCTTGCACCACCCCTAGTGGGGATGTACCCACAACCAAGGTACATGCCCTTGACCGGAATTGAACCCGGGACCTTTCAGTCTGCAGGCTGATGCTCTATCCACTGAGCCAAACCGGTCTCAGCTAGCCAGGTTTTTGTTTTGTTTTTTTTAGTGAAATTGACTGGAAGGTGGTCATGCGCAGGCAAGGAACGGAGCCAATATTTGGAAGGATATTGGGACTCTCTCTCTGGCTCCGAGCTCTCATTCTATCCTACACATTGAATTCATTTTTCCATCTCACTACAGACCAGTTTTGTCTGCTTCTCAGTCCATGTGGCAGAGCATGGTTGTGCCCCTTTGAAGTTATATTTCCAGACAACAAGGGAAGACTGTCTCTTGGTCCTAACTCCCAATCCTAGGTCAGTGATTTGGACTAGATTAGCGGATTGGGTGAACATTACTGGACCAGTCAGCTAAGTGACTTTAATTATTAGTAAGAATCTCTCCTTGTGGGTAGAGCTGCAAGGCCCCAGAGAGGAGGGGCTGGGAAGACACTTCAGCCAGCCTCACAGCAGTAGGGGAGGTAGGTGTGGATGGTTTGGTGGGTGGGTGAACTGGATCATCAAATAATTGCTCAGGAACCTGGAATGCGAGAAGGAGGGCTCTTGGCAGTGGTGTTGGTATTGAGGTGTTGGGGGAGATTTCTGAGGACAGAGCCGCCATTACACTTGAGGATGGGCACAGGCCACTGAAGAAAGGAAGCTTACTACTACCAGCCAAGGCTTTCTTTCTTTCTTTCTTTTAAAAATATATTTTATTGATTTTTTTACATAAAGGAAGAGAGAGGGACAGAGAGTTAGAAACATCGATGAGAGAGAACATCAACATCGATCAGCTGCCTCTTGCACACCCCCTACTGGGGATGTGCCGGCAACCAAGGTACATGCCCTTAACCAGAATTGAACCCGGGACCCATCAATCCGCAGGCTGAGGCTCTATCCACTGAGCCAAACCGGTTTCAGCAGCCAAGGCTTTCTAGAAACTTCCTCCTTCTCTTCTTACCAGGAAGCTAGGAAGTTTCAACTCTGTATTTGCCTTCCCGATGCTGAAGAAGAGCAATTTTCACCTTTGACAGGGCCTCGATTCTAAAATAAGCTGAACCATATGATAGCTCTGTTCTGCCAGCAAGCCTGGGGCAAGCGTGCCAGTCCAGTCTCTTCAGGTGGTTCGGGGGAGCCATGACATCCTGTTCTCTCGTCTCTTTTGAAATTGGCCTTCCAATCTCCTGTTTCCTTCTTAGGGTACCCAGAGCCAGAGGTGACCTGGTACAAGGACGACACGGAGCTGGACCGCTACTGTGGCTTGCCAAAATATGAGATCACGCACCAGGGCAAACGCCACACACTGCAGCTCTACAGGTAAGGCAGCAGGGCTTGCTCTGACTCCGCTGAGGGTTCCGTGGCCCAGGCCTGCCCTCGGCTGCAGAGACAGCTGCACGGAGACGTCCCGGCAGGCTGTCAGCCCGGAGGCGGGGGTTATGTTGTCGAGTTGAAGCACCTGGCGAGCTGTGTCTGCCTGCCAGCGTCTGGAATCTCCGAAGGCCAGGGTGGGAGTGTTTGTGACAGCCAGAGGGCTGAGTGCAACAAGAGGAGGTCCTGACCCGTGGAAACATTTTCCATGAGGTCTGCGGCCAGGAAAAGCTCCTGTGTCATCCTTCACAAGGGGCCGTGTGGGTCACCTGCTTCTGGAGGGAACTCTCCTGTGCCCCGAGTCTAATCCCCCCCCTGGAACGGCATGATCTTGATCAGCTTCCATCCCCCTTGCTGGCCTTAGTTTCCTCAACTATACTGAAGAGCGATGGGCGTGGCACTCAGAGCAGCACTTTTAGGGACTGGGGTAGCTTGCTCAACTCTGAGAGGCTCTGGCTGGTGGGGGGGTGGAGGGGGAGGGGGGCTCTCACACCCCGGAGGGATGAGTTGGCATCTCATGCTCCTGCCTCCAGGTGTCAAGAAGAAGATGCTGCCATCTACCAGGCCTCCGCCCGCAACACCAAGGGCATCGTGTCCTGCTCGGGGGTTCTGGAGGTGGGCACCATGACCGAGTACAAGATCCACCAGCGCTGGTTCGCCAAGCTGAAGTGCAAGGCCGAGGCAAAGATGCGGGAGATCGAGCAGAGCTGGAAGCGCGGGAAGGAGGTGGTGGGAGAGGCGGACACACTGCGCAAGCTCAGCCCGGACCGCTTCCAGCGAAAGCGGCGGCTGAGTGGGGCTGAGATGCCAGTCCCCGCAGCCCCCAGCAGGGAGGCTGAGGACAGGACCTCCGCAGCTTGGCAGGAGGGGGAGACCGAGCCCGGTCAGCACCCAGGTTTGAGCCTGATCAACAGCTTTGCCCCCGGAGAGGTGACCACCAATGGAGATGCTGTCCCTGAGAACGGGGAGGACGGGGATCACAGCCTTTTGACATACATCTGCGAGGCCATGGACCTGGGGCCTCAGAGAGCCCCCCAGAAGGAGTCTGGGGCCAAGAAGAAAAAGAAAGACGAGGAACCTAAGCCAGGCCTGCGGAAGCCAGAGTTAGAGAAGGCAGCTCGAGGTCACCGCTCTGAAAACTGCGTCCCTAGTTCAGACACGCCTGACGCCTGCGGGACACAGGGGCCCATGGACGCGGAGCAGATCCAGGCCTGGTCCAGAGGCCGGGCTGCACGGGGGCCTGGGGCCTCCGGAGTAGAAAGCACCAGGAAGCCAGCCTCTGCCGTGGGCTCTCCAGACCAGGCCCGGAATGCCCCAGCCCCTGGCCCAGGCCCAGACCAGGAAGTCTATTTCTCCCTGAAGGACATGTATCTGGAGAGCACGCAGGCGGTCAGGCCTCAGGGGGAAGAAGGGTACCACACACAGAGCGGCAGGGAATCTAGAGAGAGGCCCTCAGGGAAGGTGCCCAGTGAGGCAAAAAGTGAGACGGGGCCTCCCGCCCCTGGCCAGCCGATACCTCCAGCCCCTCAGCCAGCAAGGCCTTTCAACCGGAAGAGGTTTGCCCCTCCAAAGCCCAAAGGGGAGCCCACCACCAACAGCAAGCCTGATGCTCCCCTGAATCCACTTCCCGAACCCGGAGCCCAGAGCTTAGGGAAGGCTGCACCCCAGGCTTCTGCCCAGGTGCCCACACCTCCTGCCCGGCGGAGATACGGCACACGGGACAGCCCCTTGCAGGGACAAGCAGGACGTGGGACTCCAGGAGAGGTAAGTGTGGGTGCTGGGTGCCCGGGGGTCGCTCTGGGAAGCTGACTTCATGGAAACTCTTGCTACAACAGCTCGGCAGCCAGTGAGCAGCGGGGTATTTATAGAAGGGGCGGGGTGGGGTAGGGATGGAGTGCCAGCCTGGAGCAGGGGCCCTTGACCCAGCCAGTCTCCAGATGCCAGGCATGTGGGCAACTCAGCCTGACTGTGACCCTCTCTGACAGTGTGGGAGTTCACAGCCAAGAGGCCTGTGCCCCAGGGGGAGGAAGACGATATTTTTTGTTGAGGAAAAAGCCAGTGCAGAGTTTTCTGTGGGCTTTTCCTTAGACAACAGGTTCATGGGGGAGACAGGAGCAGGAGTGGGCTGTGGTATGCAGTGGGGTCTCAATGTAGAAGCTCATTAGAAGACTGAAAAAATATCAGGTGTCCAGGAAATTCTGGCTTCATGAGGGTTTTTATCTGCGTACAAATTTGTCCTTAACATTGTGTGATCTTGGGCAAGTTGTAACATCATCCTAATAACAAGACCGACTTCATAGGCTGTTGCAAGCATTAGAGTGCTTAGCACGGGGCTTAGTGCATATTAAGAACTAAGTCTTCGATCCTGGGTTTTGGCACACACAAACAAAAAAAAAAAAGAAAGAAAAGAAAAAGAAAAAGAAAAAGAAAAAAGAAAAGAAGAAAAAGAAAGAAAGAAAGAACTAAGTTAATGGCAGGAGGTATAGGATAGTACGCTGGTGGAAGACAGAGGTAGACTGTTTTACCTGCGTGTCATCATTTTCTGGGGATCAGGTAGCCAACAGAGAAAAGATGATGTTTTGTGTGGAGATGGGCAGATGAATGACAACATTAAGGCACTTGATGGGGGTGGGACAACATGAAGGCGTCAGATGGGGGTGGGGAAAGAGGTGGGAGGGCTGGGATTGAGAGGATGGACAGAAGGGCGTCTGTCCTGTGTGACCACTGCTTCATGGTTCAGGGGGCAGAGGGCAGGCAGTATTTCACAGGAGTTTAGGGAGACAGTGTTTTATAGAGGAGCAGAAAGAAGGCAGTATTTCTTATGAGTGGCAGGGGAAAAAAAAGTGTTTCAAGAGTAGGGGTAGCATGGCCGAAACCGGTTTGGCTCAGTGGATAGAGCGTCGGCCGGCAGACTGAAGGGTCCCAGGTTCGATTCTGGTCAAGGGCATGTACCTTGGTTGCGGGCACATCCCCAGTGGGAGGTGTGCAAGAGGCAGCTGATCGATGATTCTCTCTCATTGATGTTTTTAACTCTCTATCCCTCTCTCTTCCTCTCTGTAAAAAATCAATAAAATATTTCTTTTTCAAAAAAAAGAGTAGGGGTAGTGTGGATAAGAGATATGGGATACTCTGATACTGAGAAATTATTGGGTTTTTATCTGAAATACAAATTTAACCTAGTGTCTTGTGTTCCTTTTTGCTAAATCTGGCAACCTTAAGTGGAAACAGCATTTTGGCGGGAACTATCGATAAGATAAGACTTGCTTGGGATCGAGGGAGCAGAGCCTGGGCCCCAGGAAGCAGGAGGAGCATCTGGAAGCAGCGCTTACAGGGGTCGGGCAGAGGACAGATGGCTTCTTGGAACTGGGAGGCGATCACGTGAGGGACAAGCTGCTACGGCACCAAAGGGCGGGCAAGGGGAATGGGGTGCTTCATGGAAAGCAGCGAGGGGCTGCCTTTCCTGTGGAGAGAACTTGTATGGGAGAAGGAGGGAGGATCAGTTTCAAGGGTGAACAGGGGAAATGGTTTTATTTCAGTGAATGCTGCGGTTAGTCTGTGTGGACAGTTCAGAGGGTGCTGGATACAGTGAACCTCAAACCACTCTGTTTAGAATCTGTTTCTGACCCTCATGCTTGGTCTCGGGAGATGTTAGCAGCAGGTTTGGTGAGTTCTAATGGCCCAGATGGGGCTGCCTCATGTACTTGACAGCCACAGGCTGGACAGCAGGGCTTTCCTGTAGGGATGGCCCTCATGGGGCCCTAGGCATTTCATCTGGGAAGTGACCAGGCTGGCAGCCAGGTCTGGGAGCGAATCTGGCTCCTCCCCCCACAGGGGAGGGGAGCACCATAGCCAGGATCCTGGCAGGGTCCTCCTTGCCTCTCAGAAGTGAGAGAAGAGGTCTCAGGCCAGGTGGATGCGGGAGAGGCTGGCTGCAGTGGTTCTGCTGTTCCTGCCAAAAGTATCTGTGGCTTTTAGTTTTTTATATTTAAAAAAATGTGAAAAATGCATTTAACATCTGGCTATATTTTGAAGCTGTTGCTTTTTAGTGGCTGAATTTGACTGGTTTTTCATATTTTCACAGTACCAAATCTTTAAAAAAAAACACATATTATTTTTTGGATTATGAAAGAAACACATGGTCATAGTAGAAAATATAAGGCAAAACCCTAAAAATTCACCTATGATATAATTCTACCATACAGACACATCCTGGTATATCTACCAGTCTTTTTGCATATGTAGTTTATTAGTTTTTAAATTTAATTCGTGCAGTTATTCTAGACATGATACTCTACTTCTCATTATTTCATGAACATTTTCTTATGGTTCCTAAAAATTAGTTGGAAAAAACCTCATATTTAATGGTTGTATACAACCATAGTGTTTATGCTTTCCTTCCCTATCTGAGGTTAGTTAAATATTAATCTTTATTAAGAAAAATTTTATTGCTTGAATTATTTCATTTGATTTTTAAATTTATCTGGAATTGATTTGCTTGTATAGTAAAGCATCACTCTCTAGATCAATTTTTGGTTAAGCGGGTAATTTCCCCAATTATCATTTGTTAATATTCAACCCTTACCTATTAGTTTGTGATTCTTTTTTATATAACTTTTATAAACACTACAGCTTATATATACACATCTGTCATAATCCATTTTGTTTGTTGATTCTTACAACAGAATGATCTTGTTTTAATTATTATAGTTTCAATTTCTGGCAGAGCAACCCGCTTATACTTAAAAAACATTTTTTTTCTTAGCTCTTCTCTTCTAGAAAAAATTTAGAATCGTTGTTTGAAATTGTCCAAACTCCCATGTCATTTTTTGTTTGTTTTTACCTCATATCTTTATATTCACCATTTAAAAACAACATATTTTTTTAAAGAAGTGATGAATTGCTCTAAGAAAAGTAAGTCTATTCAAAGGAAAAAAAAAGATGAATTATTTTTAATAAGGTCAAAAGCCTATTAAATACTTTCCTGGAAAACTAAAGTCATATTTGCATTTTGGATGGTCTCTTAGTAAAACTTGCTAGATAATATATTTTTAAACAGTTTTATTGAGGTTTAATTTATATACCATAGCACTTACTTCTTCAAATATATAATTCATTGTATACAATTCAGAGCTGTGCAGCCATTGCCACAATCCAGTTTTAGAACATTTCCATCATTATAAAAAGATCCCTCTTCCTTTTTGCTGTTAATCCTTGTTCCCACTCCCAGACCCAGGCACCAATTTATCTGCTTTCTGTCTCTATACCATTGGCATTTTGATTGGGATTACATTAAATATAAGAATTAGCCGAAACCGGTTTGGCTCAGTGGATAGAGTGTCGGTCTGCGGACTGAAAGGTTCCAGGTTCGATTCCTATCAAGGGCATGTACATTGGTTGCGGGCACATCCCCAGAGGGGGGTGTGCAGGAGGCAACTGGTCGATGATTCTCTCTCATTGAAGTTTCTAACTCTTTATCCCTCTCCCTTCCTCTCTGTAAAAAATCAATAAAATATATTTAAATATATATATATAAGAATTAATTTGGAGCCGAAACCGGTTTGGCTCAGTGGTGGAGCCTCGGTCTGCGGACTGAAAGGTCCCAGGTTCAATTCCGGTTAAGGGCGTGTACATTGGTTGAGGACACATCCCCGGCAGGGGGTGTGCAAGAGGCAGCTGGTTGATGTTTCTCTCTCATCGACGTTTCTAGCTCTCTATCTCTCTCCCTTCCTCTCTGTAAAAAAATCAATTATATATATATATATATATATATATATAGAATTAATTTGGAAAAGTCTGTATCTTAATATTTTTTCTCATTTGGGAGCATGGTATTTATGTCAATTATTCAAACCTTCTTATATCTTTTAAAGCTCTGTTGTCTACTTCATATGGGTCCAGCATGTCTCTTGCTAGGGTTAAGTAGTCTGGGTCTTTGCTTCTGGAATCTGATGCCACTGCCCTTCCTACTGCAGTCTGTCTTGACTGCCTTTCCTGAAAATGAGGGTTATCTCTGGCAACTCAAGTTAGGCTTCCATCTTGGATATGGATGAGGAGCAGATGCCAGAACAGAGGCCTCTTGAGTTGTTAAGACTGTCCGGAGACCCTTTCTCCAGCCCAGCCATGCTGTTAGACAGCTCACTCTCTGGGCAGAAGGAACCTTGCTTACAGGTATTTGGTGAATGGGAATGGCCATTAGTGTTCTCAAAGGCTGCTTTTCAGTTCTGTAGCATGATACCTTCTCTGAGACTGCCTCAGTTCTCCCGAGCTGAGGTATAGCAGTGTGGGGCCTCTTACCTCAGAGGGACAGTATAGCTCTGCTGAAAACCTTGAAACCTGAGTGTATCTTCTTTAAAAAAAAAATATTCTCAGTTATAGTTGACACTCAATGTTATTTTTCCCTAGTTTCAGGTATACAGAATAATGGTTAGACAATTATATAATTTATGAAGTGATCCTCCCAATAATTCAAGTACTTATCTAGCACCATATCCACCTGGCACCATACCTGTGTCTCTTTTTCATTTTTATTTTTTAAAATATATTTTATTGATTTTTTTTTAATGAGAAGAAGGGAGAGGAATAGAGAGTTAGAAACATCGATGAGAGAGAAACATTGGTCAGCTGCCTCCTGCACACTCCCTACTGGGGATGTGCCCGCAACCAAGGTACATGCCCTTGATGGGAATTGAACCCGGGACCCTTCAGTCCACAGGCTCAGTCTACTGAGCCAAACCGGTTAGGAATAAAATATATTAAAAAAAAATATGTTGCAGAGAGGGGTAAATGAAGAATATGACCAGAAGGACCCAGAAAGTACAGGGGAGATCCTGGAGAGGGGGAAGTTTGGGAAAGTGACTTCATAAGCAGTTTATAAAGTCCTGGACTTATTCCCAAGCTCTTCATGCATAGATCTGGTTCTGAACAGCATATCAAACATGTTGAGACTGAGACTAAAAGACCATCATTCAAATCCCAGACTGGCCACTGGATGGCACACAGAGAGGACAGCATGGCAGAGGCTTTGAAAACACAACTTACATTGCAACTACAACCTCAGAGGCCGAAAGAAACTTGCATCCTGAACACAACCAAGTACATTTGCCATGGGTACATGGGGTAGGAAGTCACCAATTTTGCAGGGGTGAGTGGGGTGGGTGGAACGGGAGTAGAGGAGTGAACTCATAAGTCTTCAGAGAAGAAAAACTTGAGTGAGGTCTTCAAGGAAGTAAAGAAGTCCTCTAGGTGAGCAAGGAATAGGGAAAATGTCCAGTAGAGAAAAACCAAAGCGGTTATAAAATAGCACCAACTTACTGTAGTTGGTACAGTAAGTTAGTGTTGGGTGGAGGGACCCAGAAGGTGAACTTGGAGAGAGAGACCTGCTGGGACCCTTGCTGATTGGAAAGGCCTCAATGATCATAGAAAGGTACATTTAGTTATTTATCTTCATTTTAATTTAATTTCATTGAGTATGTGTCATGCACGTGGTATAAAATTCAAAAAGTATAAAAGGTATTAGAGAATATTAAATCTTGCCTCCTTCCCTATCCCTACCACCCAGTTCCTCTTCCTGAAGTCAGTCTCCATTACTGGTATCTTGAGCATCCGTTCAGAGCTGTTTTCTGTGCATTTACATATGTGTGTGTGTGTCTGTGTATTTTCCATATAAAAGTGGTATATGATACTTTCTAGCTCATAATTTGCTTTAAATTTAAAGAAAATTTATTTTAGAGAGGAAGGAAGGGGGGGGAGAGGGAGAAACATTAATAAGAGAGAATCATTGATTGGCTGCCTCCTGCACACCCCCTACTGGGGATCAAGCCCACATCCCTGGCTTGTGCCATGACAGGGAATTGAACCGTGACCTTCTGCTTCATAGGTCGATGCTCAATCACTGAGCCATGCTGGCCGGGTGGAACCTTGCTTCTTTTTTATTTGTATGTTTGTTTTATTTATTTGGAATGGGGTTGTACCAGAATTCATTGGATCAGTCCTATGTTGATGGAATTTAGGTAATTTCTAATCTTTGGCTATTGTAAACTGCTCTGCAATGAATATTGGCAGTGGAGATAGAGAGGGAACAGACATTGAGAAACTGAGGAAGTGGGTTCAGTTGCACTCAGATTGATCAGCTGGGGTGAGAGAAGTGAAGGTACTCTAGCCAAAAGCTCGTTCTCTTTTCATGAGCCTTGTGTGCAAAGTCAGAATTTTCTTTGTAAATTATAGATTTCATGTCCATATTAATATTTCCTAATCCTAGGATATCAGAAATTAAAAGAAGTTTCTAATATATTACTAATTGCTGTTTGTTGGCTCTGAGGTATTTTTGTCTGTTAATACTTTACTGATTATAAGAGAAGTTGGAGGAGTGTTTTTATTAAAATTCTTTGCTCAGTCAGACTTAATATTTGATGGCTTCTGATATTTACCAAACTCTTCTATTTTTCTCTACTCATATTCATTCAAAATTCTATATTCAGTAAAGTACCTGTAAATTTCCTAATTTATGTTTCATTATATATTTAAAAAATCATTATATGATCTTTTTGCTTTGTGTTCTTTTTTTGTGTGGTTCTTCTGATACTTAGAAGTATTTGTGTATAGTAATTTATAATTAAAACTTTTTTGTTGTTAATCCTTACCCAAGGATATTTTTTTACATTAATATTTTGTTAGTAGAAGGGATGGAGGGAGAGGGATGGAGAGAGAGAGAGAGAAAGAAAGAAACATCACTGTTAGAGAGACACATTGACTGGATGCCTCCTGCACACACCCTGACTGGGTCCCAGGATCAAACCTACAACCCACATGCATGCCTTTGATGGGGAATCAAACCTACAACCCTTTGGTTCTTGGGCTGATGCTATAACCACTGAAAACACTGGCCAAAGCTGTGGTTTAAATTTTATATATATCATTAATTAATTTATATTTTCTGTGTCTTTTTAAGTTTTTTATAGTGGGCAAGGATAGTTTCCACTTCCTTTCCCCCTTTATTTTCCATCTCTTATTAGTCTAAATTTTTATTTCTACGTGATTTTCTTTGTATTAGTTAAATATCTTCTATTCCTATAACACCTGGCTTTGCAGCTTTGAGTCATGTCTCTGGTTCCTGGCTTGTATATGTCAGACATTTACTCCACTCATCACCTTCTTCCCCTTCCCCTTTTGCGCTAGTTAAATAGTTCCTGTATTGTCAGGGCATAAGACATGGACATTATGATCTGCCACTCCAAGCTCCTATGATTTTAGTCTTGGTTCTACAGTTATATATTTAATGCTTATCATCTGTTCTTTGGCTGTAGTTTCTCTAGTCACCTTTAGTTGAACGAAGTTCTCTAGAAGTTTCCTCCAGCAGGGCACATGGGAACAATATTCCTTAACTCCTTGTATGTTCAAAAATAAGTTTCTTAGCAATTTTCAGGAGGATTCTTCAGTAGTGTACTTTAAAATTTTTTATTTTTATTGATTTCAAAAAGGAAAGGAGAGAGAATCAATCATGAGAGAGAATCACTGATTGGCTACCTCCCACAGGTCCCCACTGCAACCCGGGCATGTGCCCTGACCAGAAATTGAACCATGACCTCCTGGTTCATAGGCCAATATTCAACCACTGAGCCACACCGGCTGGACCAGTAGCGTACTTTAAATGGTGTTTTTTGAGATCTGCTGCCGCTTCCCTTTCCCTGTTTCCTTGGACACCTCCCTTATAGGGCTTTTGCTTGATTTCCACCCAGCCCTCCAGGATTCTATAGCTCTTGTAGGTGGAGTTTTGGGGCTTATTATCCTGCATGAGTCCTTTATGTACAGTAACTGTTTTGGTGTCATATTCTGAGACCTGCTGAACGTTGTCACTATTTACCTGCTGAGCTGTTTCTTTGATTATTTCCTCCTTTCTGGATTATTGGTTCCAGCTCAGTCTCCCAGTGTTGAATCTGTCTGCTTTTGACAACCCTGGCCCTTTTTTTTTTTTTAGGCTGTGTTTTTTATTTGCCTCCAGTTTCATAACAGTAGAGTTTGTTTTCTTGTTTACTTGGTTGGTTTTGATGACATCCAGGAGGAAAGAGTCAGATTACTATCTTATACTACTATGTTTATGTTTAAATAGTAAGTTCTTTAATTAGGATTTAAATGGGTGGCATTATAGTATAACAGCAAAGAACATGGGATTTGGAGCTAGACACTCTGCCTCTTACTATCTGATAAAGGACAAATCAGACCATCAGTGTTTTCATATCAAAAAGATTATCACAAAACTATCTCACATGGTTGTGAAGAGTGAGGTCACATATATCCTCTCTTCACCCATAATAATCCAATCCGGGGCAATGAGGGACAACTCCCCTCCAAATGCCGGGGGCAGGCGGAATACACACGAGCAGGGGCTTTTGGGAAAGGCAGGATTTCTTCAGGGAGAGGCGGGAAGGGCCAGGCTGGACCTGGTTGCCGGGGATTCTGGGATCAGGGGTTGGGGCGGGATGCCAAATTGGAGATCCTGAGGCCATGAGCTAGGTTATTGCTTTTGTCCCTTTTTTCTCAGGCCCCGGAGTCCCAGGCAACCATGGCTCCCACTGTATCGGCCAGCGGCAGCACTGGTACAGCCTCTGCTGGTGGCAGCACCCCCAGGAGTCAGGGCGTCCTGGAGCCCATGGACACAGAAACTCAGGAGAGCAGAACATATGCTGACTGGAGACACGGAGGCACGAAGAATTCAGAGACGGATGGGAAGATGCAGGTGGACGCGAGGACACAGGCAGACAGGAAGACACAGATGGACATTGTGGCACAAGAAAGCGAGAGGACAGAGTCAGGCAGGCGTGCCCAGAAGGATGTGGTAGGTCAGGGAAGGACAGGGACACAGGAAAACAGGAAGACACAGGCAGGTGAGAAGACACAGGAAGACAGGATACAGGAAGACAGGGGGACACAGTCAGAGGGGGGTGTACCCATAGCCACTAAAGTTCAGTCCGAGAAGAAGTCAGTGACCAACCTCAGCCCACAGTCCAGAGCCCCTGAACGGAGCCTTTCAGAGGGCCCCACTTCTCAGATGATTGCAAGGTCCTCTGTCCCAGAAAAACCTGGCTTCACGCTCAGATCTGGGGAGGCATCAGAGACGGCCTCTGGTAACCAAGAGGAAACAGGGGGCCTCAGGCTCCCAGCACAGCTGCTTCCTGAGGAGCAGACGGGAGGAGGGAGGTGTTGGGGGCCGGAGTGGCCAGGCCCAGCCAAGGACAAGCCGGAGGATAGCCTGTTCCAGCGCCCCAAGGAGGAGCAGCCGGGGGAGGTGCTGTCTGTGGATGTGGGGGGCTCTCCTCCCGCAGGCCTGAGCCCAAACGTGCCTACTCTGCCTTCTCCTGCTGGCACTGGCCTGACCCACAGCTCCCAGCAGGGGCTGCCCAGCACCCCCACTTCTCAGCGCATGCGTGCAGCTGCCATCTTGCCCTCTGGGGACCAGGCCTTGCTGAGTTCTGCATCCTCAGTGCACCTGGGGTCTGGGACCCCCACCCAGAATCACCCACCAGAAACCAGAGCGGCCAGCAGTGAGGGAGCCTGCGCCAAGATGTCAGATGGGGAAGGGAGGCCCACAGGCGCCCAGAGCTGCGACCCTGGCCTCATAGATTCCCTGAAGAATTACTTGCTTCTCCTGCTGAAGCTGTCCAGCACAGAGACGAGTGGAGGGGGCACCAAGTCCCAGGAAGGAGCTGCCCCCAGGGGTTTGGCGCCCTCACCCACACTGGCCCCCACTCTGGAGGTGGCTGGTCTGAGTCCGCAGACATCACGGCGCATCCTGGAGCGTGTGGAAAACGACAATCTGGTGCAGAGTGCACAGACGCTGCTGCTCAGCCCCTGCACCTCCCGCCGCATCACCGGCCTCCTGGACCGTGAGGTGCAGGCTGGCCAGCAGGCCCTGGCTGCTGCCCGGAGCCCTGGCTCCAGCCCCCTCGCCGTGCCTGCCATCGTGGTAGGCGAGGAGGACCCTGGGCTGACCTCAGGAGAGTCCAGTAAGGGTGAGGGAGAGGTTCCCCTTGAGAGGCCTGGTCTCCTGGGAACCTCTCAAGAGAGCGGTGTGGGGGAGGCAGGTGGGCAGGGAGCCTTCAGTCCGGAACCCCTCTCAGCAGAGAGCAGAGCCCAGGAACCCTCCCGAGGGGAGGAGCTCCGACCGGAGGCGCCAACAGGTCTCCCTGCAGCCACCCCTGAGGAACTGGCCCTGGGGGCGCGGAGGAAGCGGTTTCTCCCCAAGGCCAGAGCAGCAGGGGATGGGGAGGCAGCCAAGCCCGAAGAGAGGGAGAGCCCCACGGTGTCCCCCCGGGGCCCCAGAAAGGGCCTCACACCTGGGTCCCCAGGGACCCTGGGGCGGGAGAAGCGCTCTCCTACCCAGGGCCGAAAGGCAGGCCTGCTGGAGGTGCCCCGGGCAGAGGAGGAGCAGGCGGCAGGAGACCCGGGCCCCAGCCCCAAGCCCAGCGGGCCCGATGCAGAGCTGAGCCTGGAGGAAGACAAGCAGGAAAGCCCGGGCAAGGCGAGGAAAGCCAAGGACCTGCTCAAAGGTGAGCGATGGTGGGGACCGGGGTGTGGCTCCTCAGAGAGGGCTGCCCAGCCGAGGACATTGCTACAGCCGCTGAGGTGGCACGTGCCTGCTAGGGGTATACAGAGACCGCCTACAGATATTCTTGCGTCATAATCCCACAGGAAGGCCTGCTTCTCTCCTCCTGGCTTTGCCACTTGGAGATGGTAATAGTAGCAGCTTTGTAACGTTGCAAGGGGTTAAATAACATAGAATAACATAGAATAAATCAAGTACTTAGCACAGAGATTGTCATCCTCTGTCATCATCATCACCATAATCCCCTCTTTCCAGGCTTGGCCCATGAGTATAGAGTGGTAGGGACAGGGTTCAAATGCAGGTTCCTAGAATTAGGAACCTGGAATGCAAATGATAGTGTTTTCTCTCTCTCTCTCTCTCTCTCTCTCTCTCTCTCTCTCTCTCTCTCTCTCTCTCTGTCTCTCTCTCTCTCTCTCTCTCAATCCTCACCCGAGGATATTTTTCTCCATTGCTTTTTAGAGTGAGTGGAAAGGAGGGAAAGAGGGAGGAAAAGAGAGAGAGAAGGAGAGTGAGGCAAACATCGATGTGAAAGAGAGACACATCCATTGATTGCCTCCCATATGAACCCCAACTGGGGCTGCAGAACCTGCAACTCAGGTATGTGCCCTTGACCGGCCAACACTTCCTTTGGTGCATCGGCCAGCTCTCTTACTTCCCAGCTACACCAGCAGGGCCGGGAGTTTCTCTTTTGACTGTTGTCTGTATCCTCAGCTGGGTTCTTTCAAGCTAGGATGTATGTTTTTGGGGTCAGGGAAGATACTTTGGGGTTGTGAAGGAGTGCCTTGTGTGGAGACTTGAATCCTGTTTTCTCTCAGCCTGTTCCAGCAGGGACACCCAGGGAAGCAGGGGCAGGGCCAGAGTGGACACAAGATGGAGGGGAGGAGCTCAGGCCTCTCTCCTGGTCCCCTGCTCCCAGCCCCACAGGTAATTCGAAAGATTCGAGTGGAGCAGTTTCCGGACGCCTCGGGGAGCCTGAAGCTCTGGTGCCAGTTTTTCAACATTCTTAGTGACTCAGTCTTGACTTGGGCCAAGGATCTGCACCCAGTGGGCGAAGTGGGCAGGAGGTAAGCTGTCTGGAGGCTCTCTAATTATAGCAATCGTAACATCATAATGTTGGGCATTGTCCTCATTTAGGTCTGTCGCTCACTCAACCCTCACACTAACTGTACAAGGGAGATTCCAGCATTCTCATAGCAGAGAGGAGGCAAATAGAGGCTCAGAGGTATTGAGCCATTTGCCCAAAGTCCCACAACTAGTGAGTGTCAGCCCCGTAAACCAGACCTGTGTGATCTTAACCACGTACCTTGCTGCCTGTCCCAGGGCTCCCAGCAGCCTGAGCGCTGGGTCTGAGGAGCCCCGGGACCTCCTTCTGGCCCTGGCTGTGCCGTGGTGATGGCTCTCACGCGAAGGGTCTCCACTCTCTGCAGTGCAGGGGACGAGGGGCCGGCGGCCTTGGCCATCGTGCAGGCGTCCCCCGTGGACTGTGGCATGTACCGATGCACCATCCACAATGAGCACGGCTCGGCCTCCACTGACTTCTGCCTCAGCCCCGAGGGTGAGTGTGCCCCCAGGGCTCTGCCTGGCCCCACTCCCGAGGGAGGGCAGCAGCCATCTGCAGAGATGGTCTCTCGCCGGGCAGAGCAGTCTGACGACAGCTGCTTTCTCTCCTTTTGCTCCCCACAGTGTTGTCAGGATTCATCTCCAGAGAAGAAGGTGAAGGTACGGAGCCCCTTGGGGGAGTGGGTGGCCTCATCCCTGCCCTGCCACCCGCAGGGGGACCTTCTCCAAGGACCTGGATCTGTTCCAAATGCTGTTTGCCTTCACAGACAGCCACTCTTTGCCTCCTAGTTCAGGAGATGTTTGAGGAAGAGAATGGAAGAGGGTGGCTATTTCAGAAGATGGTGGGGGCAGAGGGGGCTGAGGGGGTCCATTCCACAAGGAGTTAATTCAGCTTTGTGCCCTTTGCCTTTGTCGGAGTGCTTGACGAAGGGCAGGACACGCCTCCAGGACACATCCTACCCTGCCCAGCACCCTGCCCAGGATTTCTCCTACATGCCCCACTCTGGGGATTGAACCCACAAACCCGGGCATGTGCCCTTGACTGGGAATCGAACCATGACCTCTTAGCTCATAGGTCGATGCTCAACCACTGAGCCACACTGGCCAGGCTCCAGTCATTTTCAATAGCTTCTTTCTTTTCTGGTCTGACAGATGATTCAGGTCCATCCAATAGACTTTCTGCCTTAGGCTTGGAATCAACCATTTCTTCAGGGAGCTCTGGTTCCTTTTAGTGGGAAATGGCATTTAGTGGTTACAATCTGAGCACGAGGGGGGTGCCCTGCTACTGGACTGGTCCATGAGGCAGGAGCTTGTAGTTTTCCACGTTTTCCTGTTTCCCTTCAGTTGGAGAAGAGATTGAAATGACTCCCATGGTGTTTGCTAAGGGTCTGGCTGACTCTGGCTGCTGGGGAGACAAGCTCTTTGGGCGCCTGGTGAGCGAGGATCTACGAGGGGGTGGACATAGGTACAGCCTTCGGAAGGCCTCCCGGGCCAAGGTCATCTACGGGCTGGAGCCCATCTTTGAGTCAGGCCGCACGTGTGTCATCAAGGTGTCCAGCCCTCTGGTGTTTGGGCCCAGCAGTGAGACTTCCCTCCTGGGCAGGAACTATGATGTCACCATTCAGGTACTGTGTCCCATTCCCACCGCCATCCTGCGTTCTCTCCCCTCCTCCCTTTTCCCAGCCCGGGGCCTGTTGGGGAACCCAGTACAGAGGCAGAAGCCATCTCAGCCTCAACCTGGGAGGGTCCTGGGATGATCTTTGAGAGCCTGAGGCATAGCTCACGTTACATCTTTGGGGCCTTAATTTTCAAACTGGATTTTTTTTTTTTAATTACACACATACAGACTCAGCTGTTATCTTTCTTTTCTTTTTGTAATAATATATTTTATTGATTTTTTACAGAGAGGAAAAGAGGGATAGAGAGTTAGAAACATCGATGAGAGATAAACACTGATCAGCTGCCTCTTGCACGCCCCCCCACTGGGGATGTGCCCGCAACCAAGGTACATGCCCTTGACCGGAATTGAACCTGGGACCTTTCAGTCCACAGGCCGATGCTCTATCCATTGAGCCAAACTGGTTTTGGCTCAAACTGGATTTTTGCAGCAGAAATCTTTCCCACTGCCCCCGGATGCACCTTACACAGAAGCCTTACATGAGAGAGAAGAAGGGAGTGCCTGGGTGGATGGTCTGTGTTCTGCCCATTCAGAAGCCTCCTTGTTGTCACAGGGCACATGTGTCAAACACAAGGCCCGCGGGCCAAATCCGTCCCGCCAGGCCTTGCAATGTGGCCCACACCGCGCTGTCATCACTGCACTCCGCTGCGTTTCCATCACAATGACAGTTTATGACTGTTCAGTAAACCATTCGGCCCGCGATTTAGGCTGGATTTTAGATTTTGGCCCCTTCTCTGATTGAGTTCGACACCCCTATCACAGGGTGACCTGGTGATAAGTGCCATGGCCTTCCCACGTGGAGCTGGGCCTGAGAAGACTGGGAGCTTGCTTGCTGATCAGGATGGGTTCTCTGTAATCCACAGGGGTGCAAGATCCAGAACATGAGTCGGGAGTATTGCAAGATCTTCGCAGCGGAAGCCCGGGCTGCACCTGGCTTCGGAGAGGTGCCTGAGTAAGTGTACAAGAAGGGGGTGTGGGGTGATTTCACATCTTGAGAGGGTCACATGCAGGTGAGCCCACAACCAACCCTGTGCGTGGCTTGATGGTCCTACGAAATCTAGAAACAAAGAGCCCAGGATTCACTGGCTGCTTTAGAAAGCCTCTGCTCCTGTCTTCAGTCTCCTCTCAGCCGCCCCAATCCCCTATCCCGTCGTCCAGTTTCTGCTAATTGCAGAATTTGAACCCAGCAGGTTCTGGGCCTCTCTGAAGGTGGTAAGCACACTGGCCAGGACTCTTCTGTGGTAGCCGGCAGTCGAGTGGGTTTGTAGGTGTCAGCTCTAAAAAGTAATTGTTTCCACTTTGACACCTGACCTCCTACACGTATTTTCCGGCGTATAAGACGACCCCCTATGGCCAATCTGAGCAGGCTTTTTACTAGAACACAGTGTAGCTTCGGGTACAGAATATGTATAATTTGCATGCATAAAAAGCCTGCTCGGATTGGCTGAGTTAGAGAGGCGGTCTATTAAAAAAAAGAACTGGTGTTGCCTCAGAAGTGGGGGGTAGTCTTATACAGCGAATATAGGCCTAAACCTATGTTTTAACTGTAAAATTAGGGGGTCGTCTTATACGCCGGAAAATATGGTCCTTTTTAAAAAAATATATTTTATTGATTTTTATTTATTTATTTATTTTTTTTACAGAGAAGAAGAGAGAGGGATAGAGAGCTAGAAACATCAATGTGAGAGAATAATCGATCAGCTGCCTCCTGCACACCTCCCACTGCGGATGTGCCTGCAACCAAGGTACATGCCCTTGACCAGAATTGAACCTGGGACCTTTCAGTCCACAGGTCGACGGTCTATCCACTGAGCCAAACCGGTTTCGGCCTGAACACCTACTCTTGAATACTGGGGTCTAGCTGACACTGAGCCACACACAGTCTGGTTGAATCTTCTCTAGAGGAGTTCCTTTTTGTTTGACACATGCTGGTCTCACTTTCTCCCTTAGCACAGAGTCCTTCTTGGCCATAGCGTGGTCCAGTTCTACTCCCTCTAACCTCAGAGAATAGACAGGACTCTGAAGTCAGTGCCTCCATTTCCTTTCCTGAACTCAGGGCGAGTTCCCCTCCCTTGTTGCCCTCCAGGCTCCGAGCTGGGGCTTCTTTCTTGGAAGGGCCCTCCTTTTAGATCCAGTGGAGATGGAAGTGGGAGCTTCCTGCCACCCTACTTGTGCTCACTGCAGGGTGAAATTGTGTTTAGGATCATTCCGCTGTACCTGATCTACCGGCCTGCAAACAATATCCCGTACGCCACGCTGGAGGAGGACCTGGGCAAGCCCCTGGAGCCGTACTGTTCCCGGGAATGGGGCTGTGCTGCCGCACCAGCATCAGGCAGCTCGGAGGCCATACAGAAGTGCCAGGCCTTCCAGCACTGGCTGTACCTGTGGACAAATGGCAGCTTCCTGGTCACAGATCTGGCAGGTATGAGGGTGTGAAGGTACCAGTGCACGTGTGTGAGAGCAGGCCCAGCGTCAGAGGAGGGTGCGTGTGTACTGGTCTGCAACCCACTTTCTCACTTTCCTTTGCTGTTGGCAATAAGCTTGTGAAGTAAATTGGACAGACACCATTTGTATGCAAGCCTAATACACACCAGGGCTTCCTGTAGCCTCCTCTGTAATCACGGTTGTATTTAAAGGCATGCACTCCAGCCGAAACCGGTTTGGCTCAGTGGATAGAGCGTCAGCCTGCAGACTGAAAGGTCCCGGGTTCTATTCCGGTCAAGGGCATGTACCTTGGTTGCAGGCACATCCCCAGTAGGGGCTGTGCAAGAGGCAGCTGATGGATGTTTCTCTCTCATCGATGATCCTAACTCTCTATCTCTCTCTCTTCCTCTCTCTAAAAATCAATAAAATATATTTAAAAAATAAAAATAAAGGCATGCACTCCAAGCCCACTTAAAATTTTAAAGGAGTTTGTTTAAAAAACATTACATGGGATCTAATTCAAAACCCACAACCATCTTTTCAAAATCTCCCTTCCTCCCTTCCCTGCAGCTTCGCTCTGGACTTGCACTCTCAGTACTACCCAAACTCTCTTCCACCTGCCTCCCTTTCCTCCTCCTCCATCCTCGTTAGCTTTTTTTTTTTTTTTTTTTTTTTTAAATCTATCTGGCTTCTTCCTGTTTCTCCCATTACTCAGATTCTTCCCCAGCAAAGGAAGGCCAGTGAGCATGAATCCTCCCTCCATCCCTGACCATCCTCTCCAGCCTACTCTCTGTACACAACGGGGCAGGAAATAGGAAAAGATAAAACGCTTTCTACGGTGTTGGAGAGGAACGCTGGAAATATCACACATTATTTCATATAGCCCCTGGTGTAAATAAGTGAGGAGATTAAAAGCCAGAGAGAAAACTGGCTCAAACGTGCTTTTTAGTGAGGTTAAACTGTATAATAAATACTGTTTTTTATAACTCGATATATTCAGGGGCAGGAGGCTAGTAACACATTTAGCCATTGTCATTCACAGTATTTGTAAACTCGGAATTGATCCTTCCTTCTTTCCTTCCATCTATCCATTCATTTAACTTTACCAAGTATTGGAAAGGTAAAAGGTGAATTAGGAATGGTCCTTGTCCTTAAGAAGCAGTGATCAGTATAACAATTTCTATAATGAGTAACATGATATAGTAGAAAGATTTGAGAGTTAAAGAAATAGATTTAAGTCTAGACCTCAATCTCTCTGAGCTGCAGTTTCCTTTCTCTCTCTAGGAATAATAATATTGTCCCTGTCTGGCTCTAAGATTTGTTCTAATTAACTGAGACCATATTTGTGCAAGCTAAAATTCTGTGCAGGTGTAAGGGAGCATCATTATGGTAATGCAAAATGGAATGTGGTGAATGCTGAAAGAGACATCACAGAATTAATATTCATTGCATAACTGCTGTGTTTCAGACACTAAATTGGAGTCCCGCATGCTCTGATTTCCCCAATATCTCTGCGAGATGGGCAGTATTACCCCATCTACATGGAGATAGTGAGTGACTTACCAAGTTCAAACAGCTCAAATGACAGAGCTGAAATGTAAATCCAGGTCCGTCTTGACTCTCAAGCCCACATTTATGCTGACTATGGTACTCAGCCTTGTTAGTGTGAGGCAGATTTCAAGAAGAGTATTGTCAGACTGTTTGAAAAATGCTCAGTTACTGAATGAATGAATGAATGAATGAGACTTTGCTTGAGTCACTTAACTCCAAGCCTTGCTACTCACCTGTAAAAATGGGAATATTATTACTACTACTACTGATACAGAAACACCCAGTGAGATAGGCCAATGTTGATGACCTACTGACAGGATGCCTAAAGATATACCCTGAAACTGGCAAGTTTCCATCTTGGAGACATGGGGGCCTAGAACCAGCTGCCATCATCTCAGCTCCCAACTTCCTTTCCAGGGGTTGACTGGAAGATGACTGATGTGCAGATTGCCACCAAGCTGCGAGGGTGAGTACTTCTCAAGGACAGAAGCCTTCTGAGGGTCTTCTTAGGGTCTAACATGTCAAAGTTCTCCTGGTCCTTCATCCCTGAGGTGCTAGGCCTATGGCCACATGGTCCTAGTTGCACCCGTGGCCATGTAGTAACACCCCAGGGGTTGCTGGTCCCCACATGCTGTGCCCCTGCCCCAGATCGGGACCAGCAGCTAGTGACGCCCACACACAGGGTCACCTGCAATGTTGGCCTCTGACTGTACCTGCTCCTCCTCCTTCTCACTTGAGAAAGCTCCACGACACAGAGAAGCAAAGGCCTGTGAGCAGAGCGATGCCCTAGAGACGGCTCTAATTTATGGTAAAAAGGCAGATCGTCTTCACACCAGTTAGTGTCCCACACGATGAATTCCATGTGCCAGGGCATCATGAGACCTCCGTTTAGAATTGAGGTTTTTAGATCCTGCCACCTGAGGCGGTACCAGGTAGACTCCCCAGGACTGCCTGCTAGGGGATATGGACCTTGGCCACAATACCCTGGCCATGGCCATCCCGAAGCCAGCCCCTCAAGGACCCTCCGTCTGGGTGGGACTCGCCCTCAGCTCTTCCTGTTTGGCTACAGATACCAAGGCCTCAAGGAGAGCTGTTTCCCTGCCCTGCTGGACCAGTTTGCTTCCTCCCACCAGTGCAACACCTTCTGTGAGATGCTGGGGCTGAAAGCCCTCAAGGGCCCCGAGGCTGCCCAAGCCAAGGCCAAAGGCTCCAAGAGTCCATCTGCCGGCAGGAAGGGCCCCCAGCTGAGTCCTCAGCCCCAGAAGAAAGGCTTCCCCAGCCCCCAGGGCTCCCGGAAGAGCACCCCAAGCTCCAAAGCCACTTCTCAGGCCTCAGGGGCAGTCGGCACTCAGTTACTGGGACAGCCACCCAGCCAAGAGGGGGGCTCCAAGGCCCAGGGCACGCGGTAGCCCCTACAGGAGGCTGGGGGCCTCCACCCAGCAGCAGACCAACAAGGAAGCAGCTTGAACCGATGGAGACTTTCCCGATACAGACAAAGCGGAGACGTGCACTGAGCGGGCACCACATGGGGGCCTCTCTGCGCAGCCTCTCAGTCAGCTCCGCCTCAGACGGCTTTGGTGCATGGCACACAGCCTGGTGGCCTCTCCCGGTGCCATGTCACCAGGGCTCCCAGGCCCCACCTCCATGTTTCCCAGGGGCTGAGGCCCTCCTTGAAGTTTACACTGGCCACTGCTGGAGGCTCCCTGAGTCCTCTGCATGAGTTCTGCACCCTGACCCCTTGCCCCAGCCAGACCCTGCCATGCAGGCCAGCACTTACCCTCTGCCCTTTGATCGACCCTGACCTCAGGGCTTCGGGCTGCCTCTGCTGTGTGACTCTCAGGGTGTCTTCTCTTTCAGACTACTTTGCCTCATTCATCCCAGCTTACCCTGCAACTAACCTGTTCCTGTGCCCCATTTTGGCCTGTGCAGTCTTTATGTGGTAGTCTTTGGGGGCACGTATTCTTGCTTTCTTCCCCCTTCACCCAGGCACTCACTTGCCTGCTTCCCATGCTTTCTTGCATCCCACCTACCATCCCTGGCTTTGAGCGCAGTTGCAGCCTGCTGCCTGCCCTTCACTGACTCTGCTTGTTCCCTTGCCTGTTGGCTTTTCTAGCCTGACCTACCCCCATCCACCAGGACCCAGGTAATGAGAAGACCCTCTGGCCTCTGGTATACCCCTGTCTACTCCTCCCCTGCTTTTCCCAGGCCCTTTGCCTGTGAGGTGAGAACAGGAACAAGGGTTGTGTCAGCAGCTGTGGCCAGAGGGAAAGTGTGGACTCTGAGGACCTTGTGCTCCATATTGAAGGAGGATGGAGAGCTGGGACTCTTCTCCACGGGGAAATGGCATGAGAGTTTTAGGAAGGATATAAACCATCTACCTGCTGTGAGGGCTGTCTCTGAGCCTGGGACTTAGGACCCCGATCCCCAACCATTAGCTCTTAATCCTGAAGCTCCAGCTCCGGGACCTCATTTATGGGCCCCAAGGAATGGCTGTGCTCAGCCCAGTGCTGAACGCCTAACCTGGAAACTCCCAATGGGGCTGGTCTGGAGCTAGCCTGCTCCCCCTGGAATGCAATAAAGGCAGCAACTGTGTTTCCTGCTCTCCCTCCTCTGGTGTGGTTGTAGGTGTATGGTCTCAGGGTCCCCTCTCCCCAGGCAGGTTCTCCTTGGGCCGACTGGAAAAAGGAATCCATGTTTTCGCTCTTGAGTTGACATTTAGTCTCAGCCTTCTGTGGCCACAGCTAGATAGTCCATGGGCTGATGGCTTGTGCCCCTTAGCAGGATGTCTGTGAACTTGGGGGCAGATCGGAATTGCTCATTCATTTGGGAGAGGAACACAAAGAAGGAACCCAAGAGGGTAAAGCAGAGCTGGGGGCTCTGCAGAAACACCACTGTCTCTGTCTGGCTTCTTCCACTGCAGCCAACGCAGCTCGGACAGCCACCCAGCCACTCACGGACCACTTCCTGCCTCCCAAGCAGCAGGAAGGCTTGTCATTCCTAACCCATTCCCTTCCCTCTCTGGTGTGGGGTTTTCCTTGCCTGATGTTTGCCCTCTCCATGCCGATATTTCTGACTTCTTTATCTCCTCTTGTGACTTTCCCCACTTGCCCCATTGTGCCCCAACTCTCCCACCTGCCTATCCAGATTGCCCCGGTGAACTAGAGCTGGAATGTTTTCCATTCATTTATTCATTCATTTATTCATTCAGCAGACATATAGTGAGCACCTCCCTCCTTTATGCCAGACTCAGATTTAACAGTTGATGGGGATCAAAGATGCATAATGTAGGCTCAGAAGAGACCCTTTCTGTCAGGTTTCTTGGGCTTTTGAGCAACAGAAATGGATTTGCATCAACTTAAAGAAAAGGGTTCATGAGAAGAGAGTTGGGGTAGCTCACAGAGGAATAGCTGGACAATTGGCCTTGAGGAGGGGGGAGCCAGGGAGTTCCAGAGCTTGCCTCCCAGGAGCTATTGCTGACATCAGGTGGGACACCATCGAGCCATTGGTCCCAGTGGGTCTCCCTCCAATGGTCACATTCCTGGCATGGGGCTAATGGAATAGGGGGAGTGCAGGTTCCAAAGGACGGGGATTCTCACCAGAAGAATGGGGGAGGGCAGGAGGGTAGAAAAGGCTTGGTGGGTGACGACAAATGATACCCCAACACACACACACACACACACACACACACACACACACACCGCTCATCCCACATCTGATTACGACTCTTCCACATACAACCAAACACAAATTTCTCCCTGCTTAGGGAGACCATTCAGGGTCACATCCAATGACTGAATCCACTAAGCTACCATTCTCCAAAGTCCAGTGTCACTAGTAATACTCTACCCTATCTTTTATCACAATCCCATTTTGAAATCTTGCAACCTGTGAATTAACTGGTAAAATTAACCATTTTCACATTGATTTTTAAAAATATATATTTTATTGAGTTTTTACAGAGAGGATGGGAGAGGGATAGAAAGCTAGAACATCGATGAGAGAGAAACATCGATCAGCTGCCTCCTGCACACCCCTTACTGGGGATGTGCCTGCCCTTGACCGGAATCGAACCTGGGACCTTTCAGTTCTCAGGCCGATGCTCTATCCATTGAGCCAAACCAGTTTTGGCAAAATTAACCATTTTCAACCAAAATAATATAACCTATCAAGAAAGTAAGTATGGGTAAAGGCTACCATCCATATCTCTACCAGGTCATGGGAACTAGTGTTTGTGACTAGGGATTTTTGCCTGTCAGAGGATTTATAACGAATGCCAGGAGCTGAATGACTTTGCTTTAGCAAGAAGACCACTCTGAAGCAACACCTGCAATTGGAGTCATTGATTTTGAAAGTTTACAGCAGTCCGAAGACCTCCAGCACTGGCCAAGCTGAGCTGTGGTAGGAACCACTGTGACTTCACTCTCAAGACTTTGGTAGTAACACTACTGTTTACAGTTTCCCAGGAATATGGTATTACTTTCGATTTACCATTTTGCTAGAGAGGGCAAATTCTAATGGCTTGCACTTGTCCTACTATAGTCATTCTTACCCCACAAACCAGAGAGCCATTGAGGTTTATACCTATCATCTGGGTATGTCCATTTCAACTATACACTCAGCCCCTGGCTTTGGGATTTCACTAAAGCATAAAATTTGATCTATGAATGATTCTCATTGATTGGCAGACCACATGCTTTTCTTTTGTTCCCAGAAACTGGACTAGCTTGGAGCCAGTGTCCTACCCAGGACACCCCTTTCCCCAGGTTTGGGTGTTTACCCTTTCCTTCTATAGTCCCCAGATAAATGCCCAAGCAGATCCCTTTGGGAAGGCTGCAAAAGAAGGTTTACAATATATACCTAAGTGCTAAAATAAGGTTTCTCTTCAAAGATACTTGACTTCCTCTCCATTAAAGGTCTAGAAGATTTTGACTCTACCTTGGCGTCTTGAGAAAGACCTGTTTTCCCGCTCAGAAATCCTCAGTCATGGCAATAACTAGGTGTTATCTTAGGGGATACCTAGGGGTTGTTTTTTTTTGTTTGTTTGTTTTTCATTCCTGGGACCCTGTGATGGAGGTCTGCTTTTCATGCCTGTGTGCCTTATTATGACTCCATACTTTGTTCCTTCTCCCTGTCTCTGCTGCTGAAACAAGGGAGCTCATTTCCATAGCAGCTCTCAGGCCTGGAGAGGAAAACCAGCAGAGCCTCGCCAGTTAATTTCTCATGGCAAGGAGCGAGACCGCGGGTCCTGCCAGAGGATAGTGAGAGGGTGGATGGACTGGATGCATGCCCAGGACCCAATAAAACATTCTTGTCTCCTGAAATCTGTGAGTTTCTGCCTTTCTTGGATTTTTGGTCTTTTCATTTAATTTTGTATTGTCAACAATTGTTTCAGATTTGTATTATTTAACAATCCCCACTACCCAAGAAAATCTGGTAAGCAATATACCTGACTGACCGAGCTTCTACTTTGAATGTAGAATCTCTGGTGAGTGAACATATAAACAAATATAAAAGATAACCTGCACCAAAATTATGTCCTGCTATCTTGATCAAATAGCCTTAAAGGAGTTCCCATAAAGTTTTCCTTTATTTTCTGACAATGTATCTAGTTCGTATGGTTTCTTCTGGGTATAACTCTTTTCCTGCTCTAATTCTGCCTCACATCCCTTAGGCTATGTTGAGTGTGGGTTCTGGATACTAGCAGATCAACAGTATAGCGTGGGGCAGGTCTCCATTTTGCAGTTCATGCTGTAGGTGCCCCTGAGCTGATCAAACTCAGGGAGGCTCTCTCATTGACTAACTTACAAGAAAATGGAAATTGTACACCCAAAACTCACCACCTTGCTAGTTTTTAAAAAAATTATATTTTATTGATTTTTTACAGAGAGGAAGAGAGAGAGAGAGAGTTAGAAACATCGATGAGAGAGAATCATCGATCAGCTGCCTCTTGCACACCCCCTACTGGGGATGTGCCTGCAACCAAGGTACATGCCCTTGACCAGAATCAAACCCGGGACCTTTCAATCCGCAGTCCGACGCTCTACCCACTGAGCCAAACTGGTTTCGACAACAGTGATCTTAAGCAAGGGAAAGTTGTTTCTTCTGTAGAAAGAAGTCTGTAGGCAACAGGAGAACTGGACGTGATTCATCTGGGTGGGCATAGGGGCTGTAGAATGTCATTGGAACCAAGGCTCCTCTCCGCTCTCTCCCGTCAACTCAAGCAAGAGAAATGATTGATCCCAAGTGCAACATCATGAATAGAAGAACTAAAATAATGATATATCTGTCAAACATCAGACAACTAAATTTTTATTTGTATAGAGTCAACAGATAATGTCTATAGATAAATAAAAATAGTATCTATATTTATGTATCAGCTGTCTGTCTGTCCATCTATCCATCTACCCTATCATCTATTCATTCATCTATCTATCTATCTATCTATCTATCATCTTTTATCTATTTATTTATAGAGCTTACTACCGAAACCAGAATGGCTTGTTTGTAGTTGTCTGGGGTAGGGGTTAGGGAGATGGGTCTGGTCTCCGGCTTTCTCAGCTCTGGTACTCCTGAGACTGCCCAGTGATGAGTTTCCATTGCCGATCACTCATTTGGATTTTACTTGAAACAGAAAGTTCTCCAGAGAGACCCACCTCCTTTGGCTTCAGAAACTCCTGTCAGAGATTGGATTGCATGCTCTTCAACCAGGCAAATTTGAGCTTCATTGTTAAATTGCAAAGGCAAATACAAGATTAATGGAACTCAGCTGGACAGGAGCATCTGTCATCAGGAGGTGGTGGTTATATGGATGGAGCTTGCCTGGGTAGGGGACACCTACTGACACCCAAAGGTCCTAGAACCCGGAGGCACGGTCCTCTGACCTCAGAACTGATGTGGTTCAGAGATGGCTCTTTCCTGTTATTTCCAAAGGGTTCAAGGGACAGCAGCTACCAGACACTCAGCCTCAGAGGACACATCACACACGAGGATGACCCTGGCACTTGCAGCACATACCTGGCTGGTAATTATAACAAGACATGATTATCTGGATTCCTGGGCTGAGGAAATGGTCGTCAATGCCTTTGGCCACTTTTTAAATTGGTTTCAGAGAGAAAGGGAAAGGGAGAGAGAGAAACATCAATGATGAGAGAGAATCATTGATCAGCTGCCTCCTGCATGCCCCCTACTGGGGATTGAGCCCACAACCCCAGTCATGTGCCCTTGATCAGACTTGAACCTGGAACCCTTCAGTCTGCAAGCCGATGCTCTATCCACTGAGTCAAAACAGCTGGGGCTGGCCACTGTTTTTTTTATTATTATTATTATTATTATTATTATTATTATTATTATTTGAATAGCACATCCAGGCCCAATATGGGAAATGTCCCTGTGGATTAAAACTGACATTTTTTTTCTTTTTGTGTGTGTGAGAAAGCCCAACAATCAGAGGCTGTTTTGCATTTAAGTATTTAACACTAGCTATATACAAAAGGGACAGCATTTCAGTTAGAAATATTTCACCTGTTCCCAAGTTCTTGATGTTAATAGAGCAACATTTAGCATCTTACTCTTTTGACATTTAAAAATCAGGAGGCATAGTGCTACTCT